AAAGAGGGTATTGCGCTACTTGTGCAGTACATCAGGCATGGGCCTCGTGCTTGGAGGAGGGAGCTCAGTGGTCCTCACTGGGCACGCGGACGCTTCTTGGGCTGACGACCAGACTACTCAGCGGTCGTCGCAGGGTTACACCTTCAGTCTTGGCTCTGGTTCAGTTTCTTGGCGTTCTAATTGCTCTTGTTCTATTCTCAGCTCCAGTTGTGAGGCTGAGATTTACGCCACAGCCATGGCGGCCCAGGAGCTACGCTGGCTCACCTACCTGCTAACCGACCTTGGAGAGCGGCCTAGTTCTCCTCCAGTGTTGTACGTCGACAACAAGGCTGCCATTGCCTTGTGTCAGGAGCACAGACTGGAGCACAGAACGAAGCACATCGCTCTCTGTTATTTCCTTAATCGTGAGCTTCAGCAGCGTGGTCAGCTTCGTCTGCACTACGTGGCCTCTCAGGCCAACACCGCTGATGTTTTCACCAAGGCACTTCAGCCTAGTGATCATCAGCGCTTCTGTACTTTGTTGGGGCTAGTGCCCACTTTGTCTCACTTGTTGTAGGCTTTGCCTGTACTGTGATCTCTATATATACCCCTGCTTGTTTGCTCTCCTATGTTGAGATCACCCTTGCTGTCTGTACTACTTATATATATCTCTGCATGTGAACCGGCCTTGTGGCCCTTTGCTTGTGCTCGGAGTGTGTGGTGACATTGTGATCCACCCTGAGCTTGCTTGCCTTTCTTGACTGGTCTTGTGACCCCTTGTTCTCCCCCACTTTGCCTATGGGGGTGTGTCAAACACTAAATGTGTTATTATTTTGTAGGCTTTAGTGGGTTAGCCTTTAGGGGGTACACAAAGTTAGGGTTTCCTACTTGTACTCTAACTTTCATAGTGCAATCACTTCTTCTTCATAACAATAATATATTATGGGTGATACATACCACCTACCCAATCAAAAACACATAAAAAAAAAAAAAATATTACCCATTCATAACACTAAGGAGCTTCCAGTCTAACAGGGTGGGAGAATACACCTCACAGAGGTTCAAGCAGTACTTGGCAGAGAGAGGAATCAAGCGGCTCATCTCTCTTCCCTACGCCCACCAACAGCAAGGCGTAGCAGAAAGGATGAATAGGAATCTCCCGAACACCATGCGCAAGTTGCTACGTGGCATGCGGTTACCCAACCACCAATGGCCCGAAGCAATGGACTGTAAAGAAACTGAGGCAATGGAAGGAGCCATAGCTAGGAATGACCTAGCTAGGCAAGAAACAAGTTAGGCAAAAGAGGGTTTGCACTAGCAAGCAAGGGGATACATATACAAAACCCTAAGGGGTTATACTCGCTATAGAGTACCCCACTGCAGGCTAGAGAACATAAGATAATATTCTGACATGGACCACGCTGTCATGCTGCACAACTTGCTCTCGTCATCATCGCTCCCGAACAACGCATCACCGCACCTGCTGTGGACAGGAAAATAGGGCAGCACAAAAATGTTGAGAGTTTTTTGGCTGCATGGTACAGTACCGACCCCCAGCTGCACGAGCCGGCCGATTCTCCCAACGCGGACAATGGGGCCTACACGTGGGCATTGAAAAGAATTACAACGCGTGGAAGATTTTCGACGTCCACTCAAAGGAAACAGTAGCAACACGTGATGTCATTTACTACGAGCGACTCACACTTCCAACGTACCTTGCCAACTTGTAAGAAGACCGAGATTCCACAGGTGGTTTTCATGGTGACCGAGTCTTCGCCTCGGCAGCAGACGAAGCTGACATGGACGAGCAGAACGTGGATGAAGCCTCGGAGGAAGTCGGACCTCTCCCCTACTAATCAGTTGACGTACCGATGAACGGCGAAAATCCTTGCGAAAGCATCAACGCCAAAGTATATTACCACTTCGCCGTTAACGGTTACGTTACACCTGCAAGAGCCAATACCAACGGAGCGAAACGCATAGGACCCAATTTCATACCTGACCTAGAAGCGGGAGACGAAGCAGCTTATCCCGAGGACACGACAGTTCCCCGCTACACATAGAATGGCCTCCAGATACTTGGCCTCGTCACTCCAGTCCACGGCACGGCACCTTCTAAGGAGCCTGCCACACTTCAGCAGGCTCTGGGGAAGGATCTTAAGGAAAATTGGCGCAAAGCCATGGACAGGGAGTTAAAGGCACTAGAAGAGCGCAACACCTGGAAAGTAGTTCCCATCGGCGTGGCACGAAACAAGACAATCCTTAACGGAAAATGGGTCTTCCGTGTAAAGACAAAGGCAGACGGCACCATCAACAAATTCAAGGCACGCTGGGTTGTACGCGGCTTCGACCAAGAGCACGGACGCGACTTCACCGAAATATTCGCTCCTGTTAGTCGACATACCTCACAGCAGATTCTCCTCGCGATAGCTGCCATGAAGAAGAAGCTTCGCCAAATCGACGTCGCCAACGCCTTTCTCTACGCACCTGTCGACGCTGAAATTTTCGTCGAGCTACCGCACGGCTCAAACACGGACTCCAACCAAGTCTGCCAACTGCTGAAATCCCTGTACAGAATTAAACAGGCCCCGAGACTGTGGCAACAGTACCTGCACGCTAGACTCATCCGCATCGGATTCCGCCAACTACCGCACGACGAGGGCATATACAAACTCACGAAAGGCGACGACTACATTCTGATCATCGTCTAGGTGGACGATCTGCTCTACATCGGCTCAATCAAAGGCGTCACAACGTGGTTCGAAGGGGAGCTGCAGCTTGACTCAACACTTACCGTCTCATCTACCGTAACGCAATACCTCAAACTCAACATTAAGGAAGAAGAGAACGCAATCTACCTCAGCGCTGCGAAGTACGCCGACACTGCCGACACCATCGTCAAATCACAAGGAAACCTCCACTCCACTTAAGCCCGCCGGCATACGCGACTACCAACGAAAGTTGGGATGCCTCCTCTTCGCGGTCGTCACCTGCCGACCGGACCTATCGTACCCGGCGAGGCAGCTTGCCACGTACCTCAAGAAACCTGAAGCGGAGCACATGGCGGAGCTCGACCATGCACTTCATTTCCTCGTCAACACCCCGACGATCGGCTTAACTTATCACAAGAACGAAACCATGACATCTAAGCTGATCGGCTATGTCGACGCTGACCACGCCGGCGATTCTGACAACAAGCGCTCGCGCACCGGCTTCGTCTACCGATTCGAACCTATCGGGCCCATCTCGTGGCAGTCGAGCAAACAAGAGTTTGCTCTCTCCTCAGCTGAAGCATAATATATCGCACTCTGCTCAGCCACCAAGGAAGGACTGTACCTTCACGAACTGCTGGAGGAAGCGAAGCTGGCCCAGTTACCCAACTTCTCCCTATTCTGCGATAACCAGTCAGCAATTCAGATAGCCAACAAGAACGGATTCGCGAACAGGACGAAACACATTGCCTTGCGATATTTATTCGTGAAGGACGAGATCGAGAAGGGGAGACTCGAGCTGTCATACTGACCCACGTCCGAGATGGTAGCTGATTACTTGACCAAGAAACTCGGAAAGCAGAAGTTAGAGTACTGCATGCTGCTGAGTGGACAAAGCCACGTCACTAGCAGCGACATTCGAGAAGCGAAGGGGAGTGTTGGAAACAAGTAATTTAAGCGCTTCTGTTGTGTGTCGAAACACTAAGTCGTAAACGAGGCGAAGCACAACGAAGCATCGGTGAGTCAACACTTGGAGGTTGAGAAGTAAAGCAATTGTTGGAGGTTACGCGAAAGTCAAAGGTCAGCGACCTTTGATCTAACAAATACAGCGCAACAGCAAGGACAAACAACTGACTCGTTGTTAAGCAGTTGCCCGAGTCGTCACTGTATAGAACCACAACAGCAACAGTAAAACAGTTATTAGCTGTGTCTCGTCGTATTCCTTGTACTCTTATTAAAAAACCTTGTATTTCCTTGTTTCAATGAATCTACTTTGCCCTCGCATACCAGCGCAAGGTGGTTCAAACACTTGTCATCAAAACGCTTGTGCTATTACATTGTCCCTAGCCAGAGTTTAGCCTTGCAAAGATCCTAAGGGCTTTTCTCAGCCCAACATTACTCACCCAAGGTATGGTACCATGTAGTACCTTTAACTAACCCCTTGGATCAGTGCATGAATTTCTTCTATGGTAAGGGGCATATGGGGGTTGACTCACATGACAAGCAGCTTGCAGTCTGGGAATCACTTTCGAGTATTCTCTAAAAGTGGATCAGTGGATGAACTTCTCCTACGGTAATGGGAGGGGCATATGGAGGTTGACAAGCAGCTTGCAGTGTGTATGTAGATGTGTGACTCTGTCTCAACACGCTGTTGTTCTTCCTGCACCGTTGCACAATGGGCCGCAGTAGAAACAAAGCACACTTGCTATGGCATACCGCTACATACACCAGTGAGGGCAAGGGGTGAGGATTTAAAACCGGAATGCAAAATAGTGAACCCAACGCCAACTTGAAAGAGGGCTTGCCGTGCGAAACAATTTTGGAACCAAACCGACAAGTTTCTACTGTTTCATTGAGATCACATCTGACTACTGGTATGACGAATCAAACAGTTTTTTGCAGATCGAACATATCTGATTGGTTCCCGCCAAAACCAAAAGAAGGAACACAGCACGTCAGGCGTCACATATCAGTTTTGGAAGCTGCACAACACTAGCATTGCGATCGCTCATGCACGTCCTTGCGATTTTGGGCCCAGCTTGGGGTTCAAGTTGGGCCTGGGTGAACAACTACTAGTTCTTCCGATCATACATCTCGGCTTCTTAGTTATGTGTAGCATCTCTAGGCCGTTGTTGTTTCAATTTAGACGCGTAGTGAAGCTGGCATGGTTGTGTAGTACTGAGTGCCGTTTCGAATGCCCTCTCGCCGCCTTCCTATCTCATCTCGCTCGCCCTCCCATTCCGATCGACCGTCCTGACGCCGTCCCATCGACCACCCTGACGCCGTCCCATCGACCGTCGCGTCGCGATCATGTCGTCCGTCCCATCGACGTCCCGTCGCCCTCCTACCATCATCTCCATTACGCCTCTCCGCGCCCTTCCTCCCTCCCCTCACAATCTGTCTTCCCTCCCCGCATCCCGTCGTTCCTCTCTCCCCTTCCATCCCGTCGCTCCTCTCTACCCTCCCATCCTGTCGTTCCTCCGCTCTACCCTCCCATCCCGTCTTTCCTCCTCTCCCCTCCCATCCCGTCGTTCCTCCTCTCTTCCTTCCTATCCCGTCGTTCTTCCCTTCTCCCCTCCCATCCCGTCGTTCCCCCTCTCTCCCCTCCTCTCCCGTCAGCCCCCTTGTCCCCAGTCCCTTCTCTTCGCCGTCAACCAATCAACCGTCCCGTCGCCCTTTCTCTTTTCGTACATAATTTATTTCTTTATTTATATCTTCTTCGCCTGATGTCACCTGTGTGTGCCATGAATTTTGCTTGATCATGCCAGTGTTCCCGCAAGATTTTGCGAGTTTTTGCCTGTACGCGCTGGATTCTGCCTGCGTGTGCGCTGTTTTTTCCATATGGGAATTCTTGTGAAGTTACGACGGCTGCTATGTTGAATGTGGAATTGCAGCCTTGCGCCAAATTCGCATACGAATGTGGGTGGAAGTCGCCACCAAAAAGATTTGTAATCTAGTTCCTCATGTTTCCCGTTCAGATCAAGACTCGTCTGGGATGAAAAAAAAGTAAAAACGCACAGGCCGTCAACTTTTCAAACGTTTGTCCCGAACTTGTGTTTTCAAGTGGACCCAACTAGAAGGGGGCGGTCGCCATATTAGCTGCTGGCTTTAAAGATGAAGGGTTGATAAAAAAAATGTTGACGATTGAACCAAAAACAGTATTACAATTGACTGGATATACAGGAAGATACAACTGAGGGTGGGTCACACGCTTCAGAGGTCCTCGTTATATGCACACTAGGCCAGCCCCAGCGCCGACCTTCTCCTCTAGCTAGTATTAGGTACAAGTGACGCATGTTCCTTTTTAGAGCACGCGAAGAATCTTGGCGGCCTGTGCGCAATGCATGCGAAGCAGTTGCACGGGGATGCTGTTCGCGTCCACGGACGAATCCACGGCGATCTGCACAAGGTCGCTCTCGATCGCCAAAAGCAGTCGCTCGGCCTCTGCGACACGCAGCTGTCGCCGAACCTGGGACTCCACGTCAGCATCCATGTCGAGATCGCTAATGCCGCTGCGCACACGGGAAAGAAGAGCCCGACCGGCACCGGCAATGCTCTTGCCGTTCCCGGGAGCGTGGTTCAGCGTGCGGCTGAAAGTGACGAGGAAATCCGCCATGGATGGGCCGCAGGGGAGCACAGGGGTTGCGGGAGCATTTGCCGCCTCGGGCCGGTTGACAGCTGCAGGTGCAGCCTCGGCCCTGATCGAGGGAAGTGCACGTGCGCTGAGGGTTCTACGTGTTAGTTGGGAGGGGGACGATGATGTGAACAGGCCCTTGGAGAGACCGGCGGAGGACAGGACAGCAGCCTGGTTACATGAGAGGGCCATTGTGTAGATAAAGCTAATCGAGGCCTAGAGATTCACGAAAAGAGGCAGAGTTTACGAGACTAGGTGATTAAATTGTATGCGAGGAAGTAGAGCTTCAGTTTTTGGGTAAAGAAAAATACGATGGGAACTGCTTTATATGGAGTCTAACGCGGGGCTGGAGAGTTGCGCGACTCGCGAGGTTACTAGGGGGAAAAGCAGGGAGGTGTACCAGCTCCAAATTGGAAGGGCAGGTGAGTGAATGCGACGGCGACACGTAATTGTGCGACACGGTTCAGGATTGGGGTGGTCTGTCGATAAATTAGTGCTGCGAGGTGGGGATAGGGGAGGGCATAAACGGAGTGTACACCCTAGATATTTCACCCTGTCCTGTAATATCTATCTAGGGGACTGTATTTCAAGGTGCAGACTAGGGGAGTAAGTGAATCTTATATGTACCTGCGTCGAGATTCTTTCTGATCTGGGCATGCATGACTCAGCATTTGACGAGGAAAGGAGATGGCTGCTTTGCTGCTGCACACATTTCACAATTTCAGGCTTAGTACATTCACGCTGGCGAGGCGCTGCTGGGAAAACGGGTCCACGCTGACGTGGATAAGGGCGTGTTACATTTTCGATTTTTCCGTACGGTCCGGACATTCACCACTCTGAAACAAACTGAAACCCACTTGAACAAAGCGTTTAACAAATGAACCAATTTCAACCGTTCAGACGGTCCGGTCCATTTGGAAAAAAAAATCGAACTTGTAACAACCCTAATGTCAGTTGGCCAATATGGGAGTTGGGATTCGTGACAGATCAGTTTGATTCTGGTTATAACCTCTCGAGGCAGATTGTTTAACCTTGATCATCAATAGTAGAGATGGAGATTGTTGAAAGAAAAGAAAAGAAAAGAGAAGGGGAGAAGGAAAGTGAAACCGCCGAGAAGAACCCAAATGCAACACACATAAAACCCCCCCTCAAGATACCCCCCCTCAAAACGCCCAGTCAAGACACCCTGTCAAGACATCCCATCCCACACCCCATTCCCCCCCCCCCCCCCCCCCCCTAATCACAACAGGGAATCCACCATGTACGGGGCCTCCACCCAGAGAGCCCCGCCTTCCGCATCGCCATCGTCCCACTCCCGGTCCACCAAGTCAACGTTAATCCCCCCCATAGAAGACGCCGCTCGAAGCAGGATGACACGGGCTTGCGCACGTTGCAACGCCACCCCGATGAGCGCCTTCAGTGACCCTAGAAGATAAGCCGAAAACACAGTGTCGTCCTCCCGACAAGCCCCCCGCGACACAGCTAGCCCCACGTGCGCATCTCCCTGCTGACGAAGCCACCTCCGAAAGCGACCGCCGAGACACCCCCACGTCTCCACTATCAGAGGAGTGAACTGCACGCCCCGGTTGCGTGCAAGCAGAGGCGCGTAATCGCTCGTTTTACGACGCTCCCATTCTCTTGCCGCCACGCCTATTTGACGCCCGCACTGTCCTAGCAAAGATGGAGACAGCGATAGCGGGTCCGCGACGCTGATCTCTAGGGCGTGAGCCTCTCCAGCCATTGGTCGTCGCACCGCGACATCAACCCGCTTCCCCTGCAGCACCACACTATCCTCCATTGTCACCACCCTCCCAGACGCCTTAGAGATCTTCGCCACCGCAAACTTCACCTCATCATGTACCCGAGATGGACCATGCTGGTGCTTGCATCTTAGGGCATGATGCGGGTCTGCTGGGTCAACATATGCTGTGCCACAAACACACCTCCCCGCCACTTGTAGCTGCTGAATTGGGAGCCCGAGGCAGATTGTTTTATTCGTGACAGATCGTTTGATTCTGATGTTTCGATTTTTTATTCGATTTCATTCACAGAAAATGAACTTGTAATTACATATTGTAAGTCATGACCTATATGCAATTTGATTATTCATATCTCTAAACACATGCGTAACTTGGACTCAGAATACATGCGAGCTTTTATAACGGTATCGTTCGGGCCAAATTTTCCAATGCTGGTCAAACTCCCTAACGTAAATTGAGACCCGAAAAAAGGCAGTGATTGAATCATATGAGGGCTTTACACTTCCAAATTTTTTTTGTGACAGGTGTGCCAAAACGAGGCCCATGTTATTGAATCGCTCCCTCAAATTTTGCTCTTTTTCATGGCAAGTGGAAAACGATCCAAGGGACAGAAAAATAGAGACAATCTGGATAATCCTGGCTGAACGTCTGCCATGAAAGCCGATTGTTTGGCAGTGATTAATCGCGCCGCCATGTTTTCCTCTCAGATTCTCTACGTTCGTCCGCATGTTGGGGCCACCTCAACCAGCTTCCACAATTGTCGCAGGGAATTGACGAACTTGCATGGGAATCTCAATGGCGAACGTTGCATCACATCGTCGCATGATAGACTGTCGCAGAGCTGCGATCCGCGGCTTTTCAGCTTAAGTCAAGCGCGGCGGAAACAGGAGCCTTCCAGGAACTTGCGCCGCTCTGAACCGTCATGTGTGCAAGCGTCGCATTCACTTTCGCGAATTCCGCTGTTTTCGTGCTTCGCGAGGTTACCATCATCTCCTGCCAGAACCCCAAGACGCATATGTGTGCAGGCAAACGGCGCGTCTTGTAACGAATCCGCTGCTGCTGCTGCGATGACCGAGGATACTGAAAAATTCTCGTTTCCCAAAGCACCGGTGTTTATGAAAGCGCCAGTGGTGACAGGATTCGGGCGTGGGAGTAAGCAGATGGGCATTCCAACAGGTACTAGTGCTTACCCCCACCCCCTTTTACCCGGGTACAAAAAGACAGGAAACCGACCCTGGGTTTGTTTGTGAGAAAGTATTGCAAACCCGTTCTTCCTTCTCACCCCCTCACCGTTCCCCTTTTCTCCATCCCATCCCCCTACCCATCCCCTACCCATCCCCCTACCCATCCCCCTACCCATCCCCCTACCCATCCCCCTACCCATCCCCCTACCCATCCCCCTACCCATCCCCCTACCCATCCCCCTACCCATCCCCCTACCCATCCCCTTACCCATCCCCTTACCCATCCCCCTACCCATCCCCCTACCCATCCCCTACCCATCCCTCTACCCATCCCCTTATCCATCCCCCTACCCATCCCCCTACCCATCCCCTTACCCATCCCCCTACCCATCCCCCTACCCATCCCCCTACCCATCCCCTTACCCATCCCCCCTACCCATCCCCTTACCCATCCCCCCTACCCATCCCTTTACCCATCCCCTTAACCATCCTCCTACCCATCCCCCTACCCATCCCCTTACCCATCCCCCTACCCATCCCCCTACCCATCCCTTACCCATCCCCCTACCCATCCCCCTACCCATCCCCCTACCCATCCCCTTACCCATCCCCCCTACCCATCCCCTTACCCATCCCCCTACCCATCCCCCTACCCATCCCCCTACCCATCCCCTACCCATCCCCCTACCCATCCCCTACCCATCCCCCTACCCATCCCCCTACCCATCCCCCTACCCATCCCCCTACCCATCCCCCTACCCATCCCCTTACCCATCCCCCCTACCCATCCCCTTACCCATCCCCCTACCCATCCCCCTACCCATCCCCCTTCCCATCCCCTACCCATCCCCCTACCCATCCCCCTACCCATCCCTCTACCCATCCCCCTACCTATCCCCCTACCCATCCCCTTAACCCATCCCCCTACCCATCCCCCTACCCATCCCCATACCCATCCCCTTACCCATTCCCCTACCCATCCCCTTACCCATCCCCCTACCCATCCCTCTACCCATCCCCTTACCCATCCCCCTACCCATCCCCCTACCCATCCCCATACCCATCCCCTTACCCATTCCCCTACCCATCCCCTTACCCATCCCCCTACCCATCCCTCTACCCATCCCCTTACCCATCCCCCTACCCATACCCCTACCCATCCCCCTACCCATCCCCCTACCCATCCCCTTACCCATCCCCCTACCCATCCCCTTGCCCATCCCCTTACCCATCCCCTACCCATCCCCCTACCCATCCCCTTACCCATCCCCCTACCCATCCCCTTACCCATCCCCCTAACCCCCATGCCTCCCCCTGGCTTCCCCTTTACTCCACCCCGGTCCTCCTCCTTTATTTGCTTTTGCAATATGGAGAATGTGTGAAGAGGGAAGGGGATGGCAGTGGGTGCTGGTAAGGTTGTGTGGCGTGGATTTGCAGAGAGCTCGACTTTGGTGATGCGAGCTGCTGAGAGGGGGGGTGGATGGGAGAGGGGAGAGGGGAGACGGGAGAGGGGAGAGGGGAGAGGGGAGAGGGGAGAGGGGAGAGGTAAAGGGGAGAGGGGAGAGGGAGAGGGAGGAGAGGAGAAGGGAGAGGGAGAGGGAGGAGAGTAGAGGGTGAGGAAGGGTTGATCGTAGGTGGTGGTAAGGTGGTGTGCCGTGGACTTTGGTGATGTGAGCTGCTGTGTAAGGGGGGGTGGATAGGAGAGGGGTGATGGGCGGGATGGGGGAGATGAGGGAGAGGAGGAAGAGGGCATGGGGGATGGAGAGAGGGGGGAGGGAGGGAGGGCGAACATGGTACTGGATACGGTAAGAGAGTGGCTTGGGGGGGAAAGAATTCTCAGTGTCCATTCTCAGTGTCCTTTCTCAGTGCCCATTCTCAGTGCCCATTCTCAGTGCCCATTCTCAGTGCCCATTCTCAGTGCCCATTCTCAGTGCCCATTCTCAGTGCCCATTCTCAGTGCCCATTCTCAGTGCCCATTCTCAGTGCCCATTCTCAGTGCCCATTCTCAGTGCCCATTCTCAGTGCCCATTCTCAGTGCCCATTCTCAGTGTCCATTCTCAGTGTCCATTCTCAGTGCCCATTCTCAGTGCCCATTCTCAGTGCCCATTCTCAGTGCCCATTCTCAGTGCCCATTCTCAGTGCCCATTCTCAGTGTCCTTTCTCAGTGCCCATTCTCAGTGCCCATTCTCAGTGCCCATTCTCAGTGCCCATTCTCAGTGTCCTTTCTCAGTGCCCATTCTCAGTGTCCTTTCTCAGTGCCCATTCTCAGTGCCCATTCTCAGTGCCCATTCTCAGTGCCCATTCTCAGTGCCCATTCTCAGTGCCCATTCTCAGTGCCCATTCTCAGTGCCCATTCTCAGTGCCCATTCTCAGTGCCCATTCTCAGTGCCCATTCTCAGTGCCCATTCTCAGTGTCCATTCTCAGTGCCCATTCTCAGTGCCCATTCTCAGTGCCCATTCTCAGTGCCCATTCTCAGTGCCCATTCTCAGTGCCCATTCTCAGTGCCCATTCTCAGTGTCCTTTCTCAGTGCCCATTCTCAGTGTCCATTCTCAGTGTCCATTCTCAGTGCCCATTCTCAGTGCCCATTCTCAGTGCCCATTCTCAGTGCCCATTCTCAGTGCCCATTCTCAGTGCCCATTCTCAGTGCCCATTCTCAGTGCCCATTCTCAGTGCCCATTCTCAGTGCCCATTCTCAGTGCCCATTCTCAGTGTCCATTCTCAGTGCCCATTCTCAGTGCCCATTCTCAGTGTCCATTCTCAGTGCCCATTCTCAGTGTCCATTCTCAGTGTCCTTTCTCTGAGGATTCCTGTTTCCCTGTTTACCCTCTTTCCCCCTCCCCCCCCCCCCCCATGCCCCTGCACCAGCCAACATGCTACCGGAAGTGCTGAGGGAGCAGCTAGAGGGCATGCAGCGAGGCGTGTACTTTGGGTGGGCCAGACTGCCACACCTGGAGGGTGAAGGGACAACACACAGGGGAGCGGGTGGCGAGGGAGAGGTTGGTGGGGGAGAGGAGGGCACGGGAAGGCCTCGGGTGTTCAAGATGGTGCTGAATGTCGGCAGGCGTCCCACGTTTGTTGACGGAGATGACGTCACCGTGGTACGTGATGACGTCACTGTGGTACGTGATGACGTCATCGGGGGATGCGTTGACATAGGTACCATGTCGCCATGACCCTCTTATTGGAAATGACTGGTTGGACTGTGATGCACACTGCCATGCCATGCTACTCCCTTTGGGTATACCTTTTCCCAAGTGGTGCCCTTCAGAAGGTTCATGTTGTATCCTCGTTTGAGAAAGACTCTCAATATTTGAGCTACTTTTGAGAAAAAACAGATATTGCTGCTCTGTCGTCTCCCCATCTTACCCTGCAGGAGGTGCAAGATTTATCCTTATCTGAGGATGAGACTTACAGGTGTTTGACCTTACGCAATACAGATACTGCTGCTGTACATTCTTCCCATCGTTGCCCTACAGGAGGTGCACATTCTATCCTCGTTTGAGGATGATTTCTATGGCGAGGAGCTGCAGGTGGTTGTGCTGGGCTACATCCGCCCAGAAAGAAAGTTTTCCTCTCTCGGTGAGAATCGATCACTGCTCTCTCATTGCATCGTAACAACTCTTCTGCATGTCCAAGTTCTTCTCACTGAGTGAGTATTCTTGCAGTTTTCTTAACACATTCCGCTCTCGAGAATTCTCAAAAGCAACTCAGGATTTCTTTCTTCCTCGTTAGGAAAGGACCGGTCCAGTGCTGCAGTGGATGTTTGTTCCCTTCCCCCGACCTTGCCCTCCCCCCTTTCTTTTCCTCCCTCCTTTCGCTTCCCCCACTTCCCCTTCCCGCTCCCTCTTCCCTCCACCTTGCTCATAACATCTTTTGATAGTCAGCCACTGTACCGACTGTTTTATTTACCCCATTTTCTTAACCCGTTTCCTGCCACCATAATGACGTAATCTGCTCTCAACACCACAACTGACCTCTTGCCTAGCCTTGCTCATGCACTGAAAAGTGGCATTTGTCGCAACCATGCCCCTTGCATTGCTTGCCTTTGCGCAAACACTGTTTCCACCTTGATTCATATTCTTTATATTGGGTTGTTAGGGATATTTACAATCAGCCCCATGCTGCCCCACTTGGTCTGTCACCTTCACAACCCTGCATGAGAGCAAGCATTCCGCTCCCCTCTTTCAACCCAATCCCGTTCTATTTTCCTCTTGTGCGTTTTTCATCTCCCAGATGACCTAGTATCGCAGATCAAATCAGACATAGCAGTTGCCACCGAACAGTTGGATACAGCGGTGTTTGCACCATATGCAAGAGACCTCGTCTTTGCATAGTCAGCTGCCTGTCAGTTTCGCGTACATATTGAATTTAGATTGCATTCTCTGTACTCTGTTTGCTGAATTCTACAATGAGAAAGATGTGTAAACATGCAGATAAAAGAACGTGCTATCACCTGCAGCAGCAGCCGCTGCCACAGGAAAACACAACGCAAGAATCTGCTAACTTGTCAGTGTATACACGGCCCTCATTTCTCCTTCAACTTATCATCCTCCTCCGCACTCACCTCCTCCTCACCACCACCCCCTTTTCCTGCCTTCCCCTTCCCTTTCCCCTTCCCTCTCCTCACAAGCCCTTCTTCTGACACAGCACGCGCCCCTGCACCCCCAGCACCCTCATTATCCCCTGCCATCCCCTCACTACCCTCAGCAGCAGCACCACCACCAGCAGCAGCGGCTGCAACTTCTGCCTCAGCAGCCGTCAGCCTGTCTGTACTGCCACTGCCTGCACCATCAGCACCACCCGCAGCACCATCAGCGCCAGCAGCAGTCAGTGCGGCTCCCTCAGGTTCCCCTCCGAACCCGAACTCGTTGACGCGCTTCTTGTCGACGGGGTAGATCCAGCGCTGGTACAGGAAGATGAGGAATATGATGTCTGGGGGGGGAGGGGAGGGACAAGAAGGGCGAGGGGAGGAGGGGAAAGGGGAAGGAGGATGGGGAAAGGGGAAGGAGGATGGGGAAAGGGGAAGGAGGATGGGGAAAGGGGAGATGAAGGGGCTATTGATGGGGCTCTTGTTGATGGGATAGATCCAGCTCTGGTAGAGGAAGATGAGGAATATGATGTCTGGGGGGAGAGCAGGGAAACGGAAATGAAAATAACATACGAGGGGGAGTGGAAAGGGGTTGAGGAAAGGGGGTGGGAGCGAAAGGGATCGTTGACGCTTGTCGACGGGGTAGATTTAGTGCTGGTTCAGGAAGATGATGTTTGGGAAAGGAGAGGGGAGGGAGCGGGACGAGGGAGAGGGGAAGGGGGAGCGGGAGGGAGAGGGGGAAGAGTTGAAGTGGGGGGGAGAGAAAGGGGTTGTAGAAAAAGAGAGTATTGGAAGAAAGAGAATGGTAGTCCTTGGTGCCAAAAGATGACAAGAGAACGAGAGAACAAGAGAGAATCTAAAAGAACAGAAAAGAGATTGTCAACAATGGTGTTGAAGAACATACCACCACACACACACCACCACTTGCAATCACATCACGTACGGTTCATCACATTCCATTTCTTGCAATCACATCATGCTAACACCAGACACAGCATCACTAGCTATCACATACCATCCCTGAAGACTGACAATCGGTGCGACGTGTTCAGCTTGATGACAAAGGCAAAGAGGTCATTCACGATGGTGTTGAGGAACATACTTTTACATACCATGACATACGATCAGTAACAGTAACATACCATCACGGAAGACCGACAGGCGGTGCAGCGTGGGCATCTTGATGACAAAGGCAAGGAGGTCATCCACGATGGTGTTGAGGAACATTCCATCACACACACTCACCTACCATCACGGGAAGTCACTAATCCACGCACCATCTCTGAAGACAGACAAGCGGTGCAGCGTGGGCATCTTGATAACGAAGGCAAAGAGGTCATCCACGATGGTGTTGAGGAACTTGTAGGTCATCTGCCGCCATGGCAGGTGTGCCACCGACTTGAGCTTGTAGTTGATGAACAGCTGCGGACACATCATGATGAACCCTGGTGGTCGTTTTAACGACACATAGGTGGGCACAGAAACAGAAAAGGGGAAAATATAGGGGAGATCAGAGTGCGTGAAGGGAATAGCATTAGGACAAGTGAGGGGCAAGGCACAACCACAGCAACAACGCATAATAACAATAATAGTAGAAATGATGATGGGGATGCTGATAACAAGAATAATGATTATTGTTATTGTTCTAACTTTAGAAAGCTAAAGCAAGTTTGAAGCTCACCAAAGGTGTAGACACAGCCGGTGAGGGAGTTGAGCACCCAGGAGTACCAGCTCTTGTGCGTCTCGTATATGAGCGAGTACACGGCATAGCCGGCGACGAGTGGGTAGAGCACGTAGGAGAAGTAGCGCATGGCGAGGGCGTCATACTCCTTGGTCTTGTTGCGCGCATACGACTCGCGGTCCCTGAACCTCAACCAGGGAATGGTGCCTGAACGATCAATCTGAAAGAGGCCGGAGGGGGAGGAGGGAGGGACAAGAGAAAGGGTGGCATGCGGGGAAGGGAAGGGCGGGACAGCGTGATGGAGGGTTTGAGTGGATGTGACTGAAGCAGGAGCGAGTAGGTGGTGGTGGCATAGCCGGAAACGAGTGAGTTAAGCGCGTAGGAGAAGTAGCGCATGGCGAGGGCGTCGTACTCCTTGGTCTTGTTGCATGCATACGACTCCCGGTCCCTGAACCTCAACCAGGGAATGGTGCCTGAACGACCAATCCTTTTTTACCCCCTCACCTCAACATGCATGGCCTTGCCAATCTTCCAGAATTCAATCCCGCATGAGATGGCGGAGGAGATGAGGATGAGCCACGACGTGTTGTTGTCAAGGAGATACAGGAAGATGATGAGCTGGCACACGAAGTTGATCACCACTGAGCGCGCGGACAGCCCCTCCATTGACTTGTTCTGATTCCAAAACGCAATGTCTGGGGCATGGGGTGGGGCGGAGGCGAGGGGCGAAGGGGAGGGTAAGAAGGAAAGGGCGGAGTAGGAGAGCGGAGGAAGAGAGGGGAGGAGAAGGAAGGGGGGGGAAGAAGCGGGGGTGATGGGAAGGAAGCAGCAGGTAGAGGAAGATAAGATGAAGAGCTAGCAGATGAACTTGATCACCACATGTCTGGGGTGCGGTGTGCGGAGGAGCGGAGGGGGAATGCATGAACAGGCACATGAAGCCAGTGAGGTTGCAGAGGCGGGGCGGCGAGGGAGGGAAAATAGCAGCGGGGTTCGTTGCAGCCAGGCGTGTGGCTTTCGACTCATACCAAACGACACCACCCTTGTGTTCAGATCAGATCAGACGACACTCCTCCTTGCTTCCTCCAAAAGTTTTGAGTCGACTCAAAATTTGTTGCAGCCAGGAGTGTGGCTTTCGACTCATACCCAACGACACCACCCTTGTGTTCAGATCAGATCAGAGGACACTCCTCCTTGCTTCCTCCAAAAGTTTTGAGTCGACTCAAAAATTTTTGCAGCCAGGAGTGTGGCTTTCGACTCATACCAAACGACACCACCCTTGTGTTCAGATCAGACCAGACGACACTCCTCCTTGCTTCCTCCAAAAGGCTTGCAACGACTTCACAGTCTTGGTAAAACAAAAGCAAACATAACAAAAAAAGGGAAAAAGAAACAAAACAGCACTCCCTGTGCAAGCTACATCAAGGTGCACGCATGCATGCACGCACGCAACATACCGTTTTTGAAGGCAAAGAAGTCAAAGACGGAGTGCAGGAGGGACACCACCACTGTAATGCCCAGGAGAATGGGGTTGCCCTCCAGAAACACCCTCTGCGAATCATTGGCGCCGCCAGGGGACAGAAACGGTGGATGCACAGGGGAGCAGAAGGAAGAACAAATGCTTACATTGCACTCTCCATAGAAGGAAAACGTAACGAAGGTTATCTTCCCAAAGGTATTGACGTGAGAGGGAAAAATTCAGGAGGGAGACGGAGGGAGGGAAGGAGGGCGGGGTGTGGGGGGGGAAGGGAAGCAGAGAAGAGGCGAAGATGGACCAGTCAGTCGTGCAACTACTTAGCCAGGCAGCACAGCACCCGTCCGCACTGCTTTCCACCCACCACTCCCAACCCACCCACCTTGAGCTCGTCACATTCTGACTCCATGGCGGTGCCGAACTGCTGCTGCAGCTTGAAGCTCTGGTCCATGGAGAGGTAGATCTGCCAGCGCCACAGCGGCAGCAAGGTAGGCAGCACAGCACCCAACTGCACCGCTCTCCACCCACCCACCCATCCACCCGCACCGCTCCCAACCCACCCACCTTAAGTTCATCGGACTCTGACTCCATGGCGGTGCCGAACTGCTGCTGGATTTTGAAGCTCTGGTCCATGGAGAGGTAGATCTGCCAGCGCCACAGCGGCAGCGTCTCCACGACCAATGAGAGCGGCACCTCGGATACAGTGGCGTTGAGCTGGAGGAGCTTGTCCCGCAGCAGCCAGAACTCGTTCATGTGTAGCGTGGGAAAGTAGTTGCCTGTGCCCTCGTCAAACGTCATGTCTGGACGGGAAGAATGTGGGGTGGAGAGGGCAGGAAGCGGGTAAAAGGGGGGATGAGTGATCACGGCAAGGGGCGATTGGTCCATGAAGAGGTAGATCTGCCAGCGCCACAGCGGCAGCGTCTCCACCACGAGGGAGAGCGGCACCTCGGAGACAGTGGGGCATGTGTGCAGCATGGGGAAGTAGTTGCCTGTGCCTTCGTCAAACGTCATGTCTGGGGTCATTGCAGGCAAACACGGGGGTTGGGAGAAGGGGGGTGGATGAGAGTTTGAGGGCCAGTGACTGGTGTAAGAAAAGGCGTTGATGAGCTGGATATGCTTTGCTGGTCAACCACCCAGAACTCGTTCACGCGGAGTATGGGGAAGTAGTTGCCTCACTCTAAGTCGTGCTTGGAGTGACACAGGATCTACCTGAGAGAAGTTACCGGAATGTAATCAGTTCAAAAGTCTAAGCCTTGAAGTCACACATGGTGGAGGCGCAAGAAGCGTAATGTCGATTCATGTGAAACTGTGTCACTGCAGTCGGTGTGCGGCACTCACGTTTGTGGAAAATCTCAGGAATCGCTGTTCGAGGATACCTGCGGGAGCAGAATGCCAGGCAAAATGAGGGAACGCGTGAAAATGAGAACACGGGAAACAGTCTGGTTGAGAACAGTCGCTCTGAATCCACTTCCTGGGCCTTGATAGCACATGGAATACATCAATATGAAGGACAAAAAAAAGTTGCATACTCCCAACTTGCTGGAACAAAACCGCAGTACAACTCGTTTCCTTGTCATTTTATCAACACAAATCAAGGGAAAATCTATTGTGCACTCACGCAGTGAAGTCGTCAATGAGTGAAATGGTGAGATTCGGCTTCCAGAAGCCAATCCACTCCACTTCCTCTGGTACCACTGCTGTTGCGTCACCTTTCTCCTCACTATCTGCTGCTGCCTTGGAAGATGGTGGAGGTGGCTGCAGTGAAGTCGCACGCAAAAAAATCGCGCACAGAAAGCGGGAACAATAATGTCCAATGATCAATGTGCGTGTGTGTGGGTGGGCGGGGGGAGGAAGGGGGGGAGGAGGAGGGGGGTGGGGGGTTGGTGGGGGGTTTGGGAGGTGGGTCATTTTCTGGAAGAAGGGCGTGCGTGTCCGTGATGGTGTCTACATCTATGTGCTTGTGGGCGTGTGCTACAGCCAAACCCAAAATCATCACTTGCGCTCCTTTACGCATGCTTGCATGTGATGTATCAACACCGCATCTCATGGGTGCTGGAAAGCAAGCACCCAGAGGCATTGACTGACCTCGCCAGCAGTGTCATTCGCATCTGATCCCCCTCCCAGAAGCCGCTTCCGTGTGTCCACCTTAGGCCGAGGATAATAGGCAACTAGTGCTGCAGAGTCACAAGGGAGAAAATGCGGATAAATATGGGTCAAGAAAGTGGAAGTAGGAAGAATTTGATAGAACAAGAGGTCCACATGAAATCATGTGCTGTGCTGCACTGACAGGCACTGAAACAGGATGAGAGGGGCACAGTGGGTTCACTATTGTGGGCCCAGAAAGTGAAGAGGCGAGTGAGAAGACGGAAGTCCTGTGACAGCTTACGGTGGGTCTTTGAAAACGTTGAGGATCGCTCGTACAGCTGATCTGTTGGGTCTGGCGAGTACCCAGACTTTGCGAAGTACACATGTGCAAAGACAGTCCCATTGCCCTCCGTTACAGCCTGGGAAAAAAAAGAGCAAAGCATGGTCCATAAAAAGGTAAACAGAAGTGTTAGCAGCAGAAAACTGATGAGGCAGAACTAAGAGGTCAAGAAGGAAAGGATCAGCAAGGCTTTACGGGGTTTCAGGGTACAAGGTTCAAGTAATTCGGCAGAAACGACTTACAGATTGAGGATCGGGACTGACCTACCTTGGAAGGATAATAGGTAAACTCAAGGGTCCTTCGAGCGGCAGGAGCATCGTACATCGTGTATGGAATTCCGGACTCTGTCCATACAAGTGCCGACTCGTCTTGAAAATTGTTGAACTTCTCACCCTCTGTTATGTACACCCACATATCCTGCGAGGAAAATATGTGTGAAACAGGATGACGCAACACATCAAACTCACAACTGAACTTGAAAGCTGCACATAAGAGCAGCACATACAATTCCTGAGAGCGAAACCGCTACCCTCTAACAAATTCGACACCCATAAACTACCCGTCACCCACAAATTCAAACAAGAAGAGCGTCTACGGGCCGTCGATCTAGAGCAAAAGTGCGGACACATTCTACGGATCTGGATAAACATGGATACACCGACGATTACTCCGCCGATTACTCCATGAGACACCTGAGAACGAGGCGAAAGTATCGATCTACCGCGCATCTCTGAGGAACTGCGACACTCACCAAGTCCTCTCCTTTCCGAAAAAGGTTCCGAGAAACCATGGCTGGATCCTTGGGCGGTTTCTTGAAAAAGAAATTGCTGATCATGTACCAAAACAAAGCCATGCGAATCATAGGCATTATTGGGTGCTGCTGTTGCTGCTGCTGCTGCTGGCGCTGTCCGCCTGCTGCAGCACCTCCAGCGGCAACCGCTGCAGCACCTGCCGCCGCGACAGCCACATCTTGACGAGCAGGCATGTCGACGACTCACTCCACTAAGAAACTGGGCCCAGAAGTGGCTTCGCGAAAAAAAAAGGGTCGAAACTGACGGAGAGAATCCAGATCTGAACACCTCCAGCACGGGAATCCTCCACTCTCGACTTCACAAGTCGAACCACGCGAAGGGGGAGTGAGGTGATGGAAGGTTGTGCTTGAGGTGGTTGTGTGAAGGGAGGATGACCCATGACAGTTCGAAACTTTGTTCCGAAAAACGATCTGTCTGGAAATCATAATCAAAGAATATGCAGAACAACACAGATAAACAGCTATAGATTGTGCATTATTTGTCTTTCATTTAAACTGTTTTGGAATGTTTGAGACAATCAATGTCCTGTACTGAGGCCTTTCACCCACAATTGTTGTGGAATTTCTTGAAACCGAGCCTATCTGTCTTTTGGCGACCTCCCGAGTTGACACATTCTCCATTTCATCTTTCCCAGTTGGACTTCATAAAGCGTTCCCTTCAAGCCCCTTCCAGGAACAAATGCTCGTCCACTCCTCCCAACGAGCAAGGGGGGAGCGAGAGCTTCATGAACGGATAGCTTTACGACATTCTTCTTGTTGTCGACCAGGCGATGTGGAGGTTTACTCGCAAGCGAGAGTGCTTCAACGTCTCTGGGTCCGTCTCATTTCCGTAGCTCGCTGTAGTGGCGTCATGTTCAGAACGTTTGACGTATTTTCTTTCGCCTTTCCAGGAGCTTGAAGCGACAGTGCGTCGCATCTGCTGCTCCCAGTATTCCTCTCCAGTATTCAGAAAGAGAGCTGAATGATGTCAAGCATTATGACAAAGTCTTTGCTTCCGCGTGGGTCGACCATTCCACATTCGTTATTGGGACTAAAGACAACAAACTTATTCGATGGGACACAGACACCGGAAAGCATGTAAAAATACCCCTTCCTGATTCACCAGAACCAAGACATCGCGACCGCCAGGATAACTGTGGCATTCATTCCATGTGGGTCCATGCTCTGGTTCTTGTTCACGCAGCATTTATCTTTAACAATGCTCTAATTGTGACTTTTATATCGCTTCAGAGCTGTCAGTCCGTCACGCACACTCTTGGCGACCGGAGCCTCAAATCCAGACGATGTCGCCATCTTTAAGTTGCCTTCGTTTGACCCTGTTGCTATTCTTCAGGTTAGTTTGTCTTCATGTTATTATTTGTCAGCATTTTGGCATATCATAACTTGGCAGCTCCAAGTTCATTGTGCAGAGTCACGAGAACTGGATGTTTGCTGCTGCTTGGGTTGGCGATAGTCATCTTATTACAGGTTTGCATCTATGAATCATTGACATCAGCTTTGTTTCTCGTACTGAGAATTTATCGTCTTTACATACCTGTTTGACGAGCAGCTGTCCTCTCTTATGCAGGCTCCCGAGATTCTACTGTTAAATTATGGTCGATTTGTTCTGACGAATTTTTGAACCAGTCACCCATAGTTACCCGTACGGATCATGATGACAAAGTCAGAGATCTCAAGTACTGCCTGGACACGGAAGTGGGTTGAACGGTCTGGGCGACACTGCAGCACTCTGTTTCTGGGGACATGAGCTAACCTGAATGTTCTGCTTGTTGCCAGACAGTAACAACTTTGAGTCAGGATGGCACGTGCAAGCTGTGGGATCCACATGAGATGCTAGTGGTAAATTCTATCATCTCTTGTGTTTTTTCTCTTCCATGTGCTTTCCTGCAGTTGTCACATTGCATTTTCTTTGTACTGTGCTCCCGTGCAGGTGTCATCAATAAGATGCCCGGATCCAAAGGAGCTGGTTTGCATGGCTGTCAAAGCTCCATTGGTGGCTGTGGGGTCACAACGGTTTATAACATTTATTGACATGCGGTGTGGACACGTGGTGAAGTCAATAGCATCCGCTGATGAAGGATGGGGTACGTGGTATAAGTTCTGCATTGCTGAAACTCGGCAATTTTTCATTTTCTGACTCCTTATTTCAGGTGTGCGGTCTTTGAGTTTCCAAGATAACGTCGTGACATGTGGAGGAGGCAAGGGTCGGCTCTCGTTTCTTGATACAAGAACGCAGAAGTACATAAGAATTCGTGAGTCAGCATGGAAACAAAAGGTTGATGGTTTCTTGTGCCACGATGGATAATTCACCAGTTCCGTTCTCTCTTCCCCTCAGGCGAAATAAATGACAGCAGCTGTACTGGGGAGAACCACATGGACACCATATCATACTCCACAGGCACAGGACATGTGGTGAGAAACATTCTACCGTAGTAAAGCTCGTTGATTTTTATTTTGACGGTAGTCCACGTTTCAGCTTGGAATGCTGTCTCTGCAGGTGAAAGACCAAGTCTACACCGAGCACTTTGCAGGTCAAGTTATTAAGCATGCCGTGTACACACACTCACAAGACTTCAGTGGGACCTCGCTTCTGGTTGCTGGAGGCCCTCTTCCTTACGGATTGAAAGGGAGCTATGTTGGTATCTGGTGAATGTGCTGTATAACTATTTATTTATGTCATGTTGTGGGGGATGTAAATCATACTTGTAGAAGCCGTTTCATGTCTTTCTGGCACCCCACACTACTCACCAAACCCTGCACAGATTGAGGCAGCAGAATGTCAGGGTTGTGCTCAGTAAAGGGACAATTATCATCCTGTGCATCAATACCTACAATCAGAGTATAGGTTACCATTGGTTATGAGGTTACGGTATTTGCACTCGTGTAGTCATACATACTCAATGATGTACACATTGCAACAAAACCTGCAATTGATTGAAGAAGTTTTCAGGGGCCTCTGGCACTGTCTCCCATGACAGAAGCCGATGGTAGGATGGTTTCCAAGTACTCATCAACATGCACTAGACACGGCCAGTAATCAGTTCGAAACCTGATTATGGTTGCTGCAACTCCAACCTCGAGGCGCATGACCACATGGAACCGCGGCGGGATGAAAATGAGGACTTGCACGCAACCCAAGGTCCGAGCTTCAGAGTCAACCTTGGCAGCTTGCTGACCCGCGGCTCCTTCCACACTACCACCTGTCAGCAACAGCAGGTCTGACGCACCACCAACCCCCACCATATCTGCTGCAGCACAACCAACACTATCTCCTGCTCCACCCTTTTTAGATCTTGAGAACCTTGTCCCAAGCATACGCTCCCACATCTTCACAGTGCAATTCCTGCTGATAGACACGCTATCACAGGGAAGAGATTCGCCGCCACCAACAACCATCTGCTTCACCCTCTCTTGTAACCATTGCCGTATTCCTCTCCCCTCCACACCAACCACAAACCGGCCCAAATGCTGCTCCACCGCCCCAATCACCATTTCTGGTGTTACAGCTACAGTGCGGACTGACTCAGGCCGGGCTGCAGGCAATCCCTTCTTATCAAACGCCCCCAATTCCTCGTTCCCTGAACCACTTTCACCCACTAAACCTCTACCCCTCATCCCTTCCCTTGCTCCATCCAACCCCCCTTCACCAGCAACCTCCTGCATTTCACCACCCCTGCTCCCAACAAGACCCCTCAATTCCCCTCCCAGAAGCTCCCACAAAGCATCAAACAACCCCGATTCCCCACCCTCCCTCTCGCCCCCACCAAAACCACCAACCACACCCCTCCTTCTCCCCTCCCTCTCACCCTGCCCCGTCCCCATTCCCATCCCTCTCCCACCCCCGCACCTAGCGAACGGCCAGGGAGCAGGCATGAAGAAATCCTCTATGCCGACCGGAATGCTCGCGAGCTCGCCTGTGAGCGTGCGGCCGTCCTGACTCGTGAACGTTACGGTTACCGCCACGAGTATCGGCGCCGGCCAATGGGGCGAGAACTCAATGTCAAACGGTGTCTGATCTGTGACTGCTAGCAGATTGTGGGAGGAAGAGGAGGGGTTGCTCCTAGTGAAATCCGCGTTAAAGGATCTCTCCTCCTCTTCCTTCTCTTTCTCCTCCTGTTCTGCTGTCTCTGGCTCATCTGCAGACGCCGTCTTGTCGTCTTGTTTGAAAACAATAATGCTCATGCTGTCCTTCGTACTGCCACCTCCCTCCACACTCTCTTCCCCCTCATCCTCATCCTTTTCCTCATTTCCCAGCACTCCTTCCTCACAATACTCCTCTTCATCCCACTCCTCCTCATCTTCCCATGCCTCCTCTTCTCCATCCTCCCCCGTCACCCCCTCATCCCGAGCCATCATCAGGCACGGAATCAGGCACGGCTCAATAGGTCCGGTAAACACCGAGGTTCGGAAACTCAGCTCCACAGCAAATACCCCCACCACAGCTCCCATGATCATATCAATGGCTGACGTGGCAGCAGCAGCAGGAGCAGAAGCAGAACCACCACCCATGCCACCACCCATGCCACCACCCCCACCACCTTCCGTACCAGCAACCCTAGTCTGCCCCAGTGTGCTTATATCGAAGGCAAGCTCCTCTCTAGCCGTTGGCAGCAGCTTCAGCACACAGGGCACCCGTACCCAGAACCCCTCAGCCTCCTCATACCCTATAATGTCATCCTTGTTATGGTCACTGTTCTCACCTAAACCACTCTTACTGCTGCTGGTACTGGTAACCGCACGAATGATGGTCGCTGACCCTGTGTCGCCAGGCTGTCGTCGTGCCAGAGTGGCAAAATACTCGTCCAGAATGGCTGCCAGCTCAGCAGTGTGTGTGTCCAGCAAGGCAAGAGTCTGCTGACTCTGCGACCGATACCACTCAGCCTCCTGCTGCTGCTGCTGCTGCTGCAGGTGCTGTGGTGCGAATGAGTGGTGCTTAGTTGACAAAGTGAGAGACTTGAACTCATTACTGCTTGAACCAGCAGCAACAACAGCAACAGAAGCTGAAGCATGGCTGACCTCCTTGACAGCACAAGCAGCAGCAGCAGTGGCAGCCTCACCCTTTTCCGCCTCCCTTCCCTTCGCCCACTCCCCCCCAGCCCCCTTCTTGTCCGCATCTGAGGGGAACAGGACAAGCTCCCAGGAGTCTGGAACGGCCGGCGGCCGGCGCCGTTTGGCCTGTAGCACGCGTGACAGCTGCACGGGGCCTTTGGGCGGCGGACGGGGGTGAATGGGATCCAAGGGAATGGTGGCAAGAGAGGAGGAGGAGGTGGAAGTGTTGGCAGTGCTGCTGCTGCTGCTGCTGCTGGTGGTGTTGGTGGTGTTGGGGTTGGTTTTTGGTGTCGACTTAAGTGGAGCGGCGGTGGTGATTGGAGCAAGATGGGAAGAAGGGAGGGATGTGGATGCAGAAGCAGAGTCAGAGGAGGAGAGGGAAGAGGAGGAGGAAGTAGAAGTGGGGACGACAGATGAGATCGCTGAAGCTGGTGATGAGGACAGCAATGACACTGAAGAGTTAGCTGCAGTAGCAGCCAGGGCAGAAGCAGCAACAGAAGCAGACGTAGCAACAGGAGCCGAAGCAGCAACGGTAGGAGAAGCAGCAGCATCTGCAGCAGCAGCAGTTGACACGAACAACTCCCCAATGGCTGAGAAAATACCCATCGGTCCCTGCCCCCCCTTGCCAGCAGCACTACCATCCACTCCCCTGGCACTTGCAGCTGCAGCAGCGGCATCAGCGGCATCGGACGCAGCAGCAGCGCGAGCAGCAGCGGCGGCAGCAGCAACAACCGCTTTAAGAGCCGAGGAGGAGAGGGAGGAGGAGGGTGAACTGATGACTGCAGCGATCTCTGCAAACGCTGCTGCATCTGCCATGTTCACGGACTGGGGCTGGGACGGCGGTCCTTCTGCTGTGTCCGCTAAAAGTCGATTTGCTGCTGCTCTCGCCGCCGCCGCTGCTGCTGCTGCAGCTGCTGCTCCTGCTCCCGTTGCTGCTCCTCCTCCCCCCACTCCTCCTCCTGCTGCTACTGCTTCCGACGCAGTGACATCAGTTCTGGTGGTAGCCGCAGCAGCGGAAGAGGCGAGAGCAAAGAGAGCACCACCCGAAGCATCAGAGAAATCCCCTGCGGGAGTGTAAAAGAGGGGAGGTGGAAACAGTGCAGCAGCAGCAGCAGCAGGAGCAGGTGCCGTGATGGGGGTACGGCCAGGGGCAGGGGGGAGGGATGACGAGGAGGAGGAGGAGAGGAGGAGATGACGGATGATGTGACCTGGCGCTGATGTGATGAGGCGGAGGAAAAACCTGTGGGCATGGGGACAGAGGATGGGGCAGAGGAATGGGGGGAGGAAGGGGAAGGAGACAATGTTCTTTCAAGAAAACTCATCTTTCAAGAGGAAGTTGAAGGAGATAATGTTTCTTGTTGTGGCAGAACCTGTGATGGGGAGATGATGGATGATGTAACCTGGTGCTGATGCGATGAGGCGCAGGTAGTCTAGTTTTGAGGCGCCTCAAAACAAAAACTGTGATGGGGAGATGACAGATGATGTGACCAGATGCTGATGGGATGAGGCGCAGGAAGATCCTTTGAGCGTAGGGGCAGGGGAAAGGGGAGAGGAAAAGGGGAACGGAAAGGGAAAGGGGAAGGGGAAGGGGAAGGGAAGGCGGAAAGGGGAGGTGGCAGGGGAGCAGGGAGGGAGAGGGGCAAAGTGAAGGGGGAGGGGAAGGGAATGAAGGGAATGGATGTAGCAGAATCTATGATGTGATGTGATGTGATGAGTGCACCCATGACCAGGCTGACTATTGAGTCGACTCAAAAGTCAGCTTGATGTCTAGTGCACCCATTGCAACCATAGACCAGGTTCTTCACTGCACGCACCTGGCTCTGTCCCTCAAGGTGATATCCGGGTGGTGCTGTTTTAAACATGAACACTGCAGTGCACCCATCGCATTGCAGATTCTGCACGCACCTGGCTCTGTCCCTGAGTGTGATATCCGGATGGTGATGGAGAGTGACAACCGAGAGGAGGCGCGTCATAAGACGTCTCAAAACACGAACGAGGTGCGCACCTGGCTCTGTCCCTTAGCGTGATGTGATCACCGGGACAAAGAACCACACGCACCTGGCTCTGTCCCTGAGTGTGATATCCGGATGATGGAGAGTGACAAACGAGAAGAGGCGCGTCAAAGGGTCAAACGCCACTGATAGGGCGTGGCTTGTGAGAATGGTGCTGCGGAGGAGAGGGGAGACAAGGAATAGGGGAAATGAATGGTGCCACAAAGAAGAAGAAAAAGTAAAGAGCACACACTGGGGATTTGAACCATGGTTTCAATACGTGGCAGCAACTCTTAGGGATTGACACAAAGAAGAAGAAGAAAAGAGCACACACTTGGGATTTGAACCATGAATGATTTGGATACATATTGAGGCGCCTCAACAAACCGGTGCACACGCTTGTTTTGTTTGTTTGTTTGTTTGTTTGTTTGTTTTTCTTTTTAATTCCCGTTTAAGGAAACGACTGCCCCAAGAATCAATGCGGTTGCTCCATTGAACGGTTCAGCTCACCGGCACATGGAGAGCACTTGCGCTGTGTCCTCCCATGATGCCACCTCCCCCGCTGCTGCAGCAGCATCAGCACCACCACTCACACCAGACCTTGAAGCAACACGTACGTTTGTGTTGCTCCATTGAACGCTTTGCTCACCGGCATATGGAGAGCACTTGCGCCGTGTCCTCCCATGATGCCCCCTCCCCATCTGCCGCAGCAGCAGCACCGCCACTCATACCCACACCAGGCCATCTTGCCATCCCACCACCCTCCCTCCTCCTTTCCTCCTCCCTCTCTCCTGCCTCTCCTCTTCCCCCTTTCCCTCCCCTCCTCCCTTCCCCCTTCCCTCCTCCCCCTGTCCCTCTGTACCGCCTCTCCCTCTCGTTCTGCAGAAACGCCAACAGGAGATCCACGATTGGGCCAGGTGGCACGTCGAGATTGGCCGAGAGCGAGTGGAGGAGGGGGAGGTAGCGCGGCACGGAGCAGAGGGAGAGAGGCACCAGGAGCGGCTGGGCCGTCAGATATCCCGCTGACCTGGCAGATCGTGCGGTGGAGGTGAACGGAGCAGGGAGGGGAGGAATCGGAGGCGGAGGAGGAGGAAGAAGAGGAGAAGGAGGGAGAGAAAGAGAAGATGAAAGAGGGGAAAGGCTATACGGATCGCGGTCAGCAGTGCAAGCAGCGTCAGCAGTGGCAGAAAGAGAAGGATGTTGAATGCCTTTGTCTGCAGATGAATCAGGAGGGAGGGTGGGAGAGAGTTGGCTGAGGAGGGGGATGAGCTGGGAGAAAAGGGTGCGATGGAGGGCACGCGAAAGGGGGTGGTGGTGGGGGCACTGAGAGAGGCAGGAGAGGAAGAAGAGGAGGTTGGGGATGTGGTCAGGCATGGCTGTTAGCGTGCTAAGCAGATAGGCTTGCACGGATGAGAGGATAGATGGGGGAGGTGCGGGAAAGGAGAGTCCAGGTGCTAGAAGGGAGTGCTGCCTGGAAAGGCCTGGAAGGCCTGGTCTGTTGGTCTCGTGCTCTGGTGATGCTATGTTGATGGTCAAGGGGTGGTGGGTGTGTAGTGGGAGGGAGGAAAGAGATTGGGAGACGTCGGAGTGGGAGTGGGAGAGAGGTATGGAGGAAGGGAGGGAGAGGAGGGGAGAGGAAGGGAGGTGGGGGGAGGAAAGGAGGGGGGAGGAGAGGAAGGGAAGGGGCGTGGCAGTGAGGAAGCAGCGGAGAGTGCGGAGGGCAAGGAGTGCGTCGAGGGAGGAAGGTGGGAGATAGTAGAAGAGAGAGAGGGCCGCCATGGACTCGTGCAGCAGCTGCTGCTGCAGGCGGCTGGCGGACAGGAACGCGTCAGCAGCAGCGGAATCCCCTGATTGACTCGCCGCAGCCGCGTCTGACGTGGAAAACGCTGACGTGGCGGATGCTGACATGGCAGATGCTGACATGGCGGCGCGTGCGGATTCGGGGAGCGCGGAGGAGCAGAGCGCAGCGGCGGCGATGCGGGCGAAGGCGAGGGTCTTGGCAGCCTTGAGGGCGAGCGGATCGAAGAGGCGGATGGAGAGAGCTGATGCTAGCTGGGGTGCTGCCAGGATGGGCCTCCTCCTGTGCTGCTGTGTGTAAGGATGTGAGTGCTGCTGTGAGAGTGCGTGCTGCTGCTGCTGCTGCTGCATGTGAAGCTGCGGCTGATTTCCAGCAAGACCACCATCCCCTCCCCCCGCTGCCACCCCGTCGACTTCCAGCGCCAGCAGCCACCTTAGCGCCAGCTGGCGCACCGCGATTGGCTGCCAGGGCTCGTGGGCCAATCGGGCCACTCGCAGCACGACAGCTCGCTTGGTGTGCGCTGGCAGGAGGTCTTGTGGTGGTGGTTGTGGTGGCTGTGCTGGTGATAGTGGTGGGATGGCAGATGAGACAAACGGAGCAGGTGGAGTGGCAGGACGGGCAGAGGAAGGAATGGTGGGAGCAGATGAAGGGATGGTGGCAACTGAAGCACCGGAGGAGGAGGAGAGGGAGGAGGAGCGAGTAATGGTGCCTGGCGCTTGTGCAATCCCATGAGCCTGGTTGAAGCTGTGCGGTTGATTGAAGCTGTGGGAATGGGTGAAGCTGTGCGTGCGGCTGTGCGTGGGGGTGGAGGTGGGGGAGGAGCGAGAGGAGGAGGATGGAGAGAGGGAGGGGGATGGGGAGGACGGGCGGGATAGGGGTGACGGTGGTGGGGGGGGAAGGGGTGGAGGGGGAGGTGGCGACAGAATGTGTTGAAGCATGTAGAGAGCTGCAGCAATGGGGGTGGGAAGAAAACAAAAAGTTTTTTTTTTCTTCAGGCTGTCAAAACAAGTCAAATCATTTAACTGGAAGAAAAACAGAAACAAAAACATAGCACTCACATGGAGCGAGCAAGTACCTGTGTGGGCTTGCAGAGAGGACGAAGCACTCTCCAGCGATCCCATGTCTTGGAGGGCTTGAGACTTGAGAAAAGGAAGGTTCAGTGAAGCTGCCACCGCCGCCACGTCAGCGAGCACGCACGCAAGGACGGGCGGCGACGCCAGCTGGCACGCATCGAGAAGCGCTGAGATGGCCTTTCGGATGGCACGCTGGCCTGATGTGATTGTAGCGAGAGGGAGGGGAAATATGTGATGGTAACGGGAGGGGAGGGAATGACAAATGTGATTGTAAAGAGAGCCACACCGTGAGTTGCTGGAGAGTGCTTGTAACATTGCGACGGAGTGGAAGGAGGGGAGACCACACGGAGGAGTAGCACAGTAAATTGTGGTAAAATGCTTTGAAGGGCGAGCATAGAAAAAAGTATCTAGTAGGAGATTGCAATGCAAATCCTGCACCAGCAAATCAAATCCTGGGTTTGCAGATGCAACAACCTGCATTTTTCTCACCAGCCAATCTCAACCTGCATTAGTTGGGATGGCACAATCTCAACCCCGCCTCCCCACTACCTTTTTTAGCAGACTCGTGCCTTTTCTTTTGAGTCGACTCAAAAGTCAAATCCCTTTTTTAGCAGACTCGTGCCTTTTCTTTTGAGTCGACTCAAAAGTCAACTCCCTTTTTTAGCAGACTCGTGCCTTTTCTTTTGAGTCGACTCAAAAGTCAACTCCCTTTTTTAGCAGACTCGTGCTTTTTCTCACCCGCAATAGGCACTTGGCACTTGGGACGGCACAATCTCTTTTTGAGGCGCCTCAAAAGTTTTTCTCACCCGCAATAGGCACTTGGGACGGCACAATCTCTTTTTGAGGCGCCTCAAAAGTTTTTCTCACCCGCAATAGGCAGTTGGGACGGCACAATCTCAACCCCCCCCACCTCCACACCCCCTCCCCGTCCCTCACTCTCCTCCCCCTGCTGCCTTGTCAGCAAAAGCCCCCAGGGGAGAGGCAGGGAGAAGGGAGGAGGGGCGCTGGGGTCAAAGGGGAGAGCTAAGAGTGAGTCAGCTTGAGGGGTGGCGATGGTGAGAGGGCGGATTTTGAAAGAGGCAGCGGAGGCAGGGAGGGAGGAGGCTGAGGCGAGAGAAGAGCCATGTGCGAGCTGCTGCTGTTGCTGGTGCTGGTGCTGCTGGTGATGCTGATGATGCTGGTGCTGCTGGTAGTGGTAGTGCTGTTGGTGGTGTGACTGCTGGGTGCGGTGTTGGTTTGAGTGTTGGTGGAGGGAGGAGAAAGAGGAGGTGGAGGAGGAGGGATGCAGGCGGGAAGGCGAGGGGGACGGGGAGGGCAGCGGGGCGTGAGCAGAGGGGGAGGCGAGAGAGGAGAGGGATGAGATGGAGGAAATGGAGGAGAAGGGAGAACCGCCTGAAGTTGTTTTGGTGAGGGACTGCGATGACCCGGCAAAAAACGTTGTACAGAGGTTCTGAATGGGGGGGATGGGGGAGAGCAAGGGAGGGAGGTTGGGGGCGATTGGTAAGAGATGGAGGAAATGGAGGAGAAGGGAGAACTGCCTGAAGACGTCTTTGTTAGTGACTGGGTTGATCCGGCAAAGAACGTTGCGCAGAGGTTCTGAATTGGGGGAGGGGAGAATGAGTAGGCTTGGTACGAGATGGACGAGAGGGGCAGGTAAAAGAAGAACTCAGATCACAGGGGTCACAGAGATCACAGGGGTCACAGAGATCACAGGGGTCACAGCGATCACAGGGGTCACAGTGATCACAGGGGTCACAGTGATCACAGGGGTCACAGTGATCACAGGGGTCACAGTGATCACAGGGGTCACAGTGATCACAGCGGTCACAGCGATCACAGGGGTCACAGCGATCACAGGGGTCACAGCGATCACAGGGGTCACAGTGATCACAGGGGTCACAGTGATCACAGGGGTCACAGTGATCACAGGGGTCACAGTGATCACAGGGGTCACAGTGATCACAGGGGTCACAGTGATCACAGGGGTCACGGCGATCACAGGGGTCACAGTGATCACAGGGGTCACGGCGATCACAGGGGTCACAGCGATCACAGGGGTCACAGTGATCACAGGGGTCACAGTGATCACAGGGGTCACAGCGATCACAGGGGTCACAGCGATCACAGGGGTCACAGTGATCACAGGGGTCACAGTGATCACAGGGGTCACAGTGATCACAGGGGTCACAGTGATCACAGGGGTCACAGTGATCACAGGGGTCACAGTGATCACAGGGGTCACAGTGATCACAGGGGTCACGGCGATCACAGGGGTCACAGCGATCACAGGGGTCACAGTGATCACAGGGGTCACAGTGATCACAGGGGTCACAGTGATCACAGGGGTCACAGCGATCACAGGGGTCACAGCGATCACAGGGGTCACAGCGATCACAGGGGTCACAGCAATCACAGGGGTCACAGCGATCACAGGGGTCACAGCGATCACAGGGGTCACAGTGATCACAGGGGTCACAGTGATCACAGGGGTCACAGTGATCACAGGGGTCACAGTGATCACAGGGGTCACGGCGATCACAGGGGTCACAGCGATCACAGGGGTCACAGTGATCACAGGGGTCACAGTGATCACAGGGGTCACAGTGATCACAGGGGTCACAGTGATCACAGGGGTCACAGTGATCACAGGGGTCACAGTGATCACAGGGGTCACAGTGATCACAGGGGTCACGGCGATCACAGGGGTCACAGCGATCACAGGGGTCACAGTGATCACAGGGGTCACAGTGATCACAGGGGTCACAGTGATCACAGGGGTCACAGCGATCACAGGGGTCACAGCGATCACAGGGGTCACAGCGATCACAGGGGTCACAGCAATCACAGGGGTCACAGCGATCACAGGGGTCACAGCGATCACAGGGGTCACAGCGATCACAGGGGTCACAGTGATCACAGGGGTCACAGCGATCACAGGGGTCACAGCGATCACAGGGGTCACAGCGATCACAGGGGTCACAGCGATCACAGGGGTCACAGCGATCACAGGGGTCACAGCGATCACAGGGGTCACAGCGATCACAGGGGTCACAGCGATCACAGGGGTCACAGCGATCACAGGGGTCACAGCGATCACAGGGGTCACAGTGATCACAGGGGTCACAGTGATCACAGGGGTCACAGTGATCACAGGGGTCACAGTGATCACAGGGGTCACAGTGATCACAGGGGTCACAGTGATCACAGGGGTCACAGCGATCACAGGGGTCACGGCGATCACAGGGGTCACAGTGATCACAGGGGTCACAGTGATCACAGGGGTCACAGTGATCACAGGGGTCACAGTGATCACAGGGGTCACAGTGATCACAGGGGTCACAGTGATCACAGGGGTCACAGTGATCACAGGGGTCACAGTGATCACAGGGGTCACAGTGATCACAGGGGTCACAGTGATCACAGGGGTCACAGCGATCACAGGGGTCACAGCGATCACAGGGGTCACAGCGATCACAGGGGTCACAGTGATCACAGGGGTCACAGTGATCACAGGGGTCACAGTGATCACAGGGGTCACAGTGATCACAGGGGTCACAGTGATCACAGGGGTCACAGTGGTCACAGCGATTGGGATTCACGGTGAGACATACCTTGAATCCCGATTCCTGAAGCCATACTGTCCAGCTCACACATACTTTTGAGAATTCCCAAAAGCCGCACGAATCCCGATTCCTGAAGCCATACTGTCCAGCTCACACATACTTTTGAGAATTCTCAAAAGCCGCACGAATCCCGATTCCTGAAGCCATACTGTCCAGCTCACGCATACTCATCCATTCTCCATCATGCTTGTGTCATGCGTATTCTTCACGCACAGGAACAGAAACAACCTCATACCATACCATACCATACCATACCATACCATACCATACCATACCATACATACCATACCATACCATACCATACCATACCACACCATACCATGCCATACCATACTATACCATACCTCCACAATCACTGACACAAGCAACGCATAGCCCTGCAATAGGCATATGCATATCTGTCTTCACACATGCGCTTATCTCTGTGCACACGTATTCATTCTGTGCACACGTATTCATTCTGTGCACACGTATTCATTCTGTGCACACGTATTCATTCTGTGCACACGTATTCATTCCGTGCACACGTATTCATTCTGTGCACACGTATTCATTCTGTGCACACGTATTCATTCTGTGCACACGTATTCATTCTGTGCACACGTATTCATTCTGTGCACACGTATTCATTCTGTGCACACGTATTCATTCTGTGCACACGTATTCATCCTGTGCACACGTATTCATTCTGTGCACACGTATTCATTCCGTGCACACGTATTCATTCTGTGCACACGTATTCATTCTGTGCACACGTATTCATTCTGTGCACACGTATTCATTCTGTGTACACACATAGCCACCCCCACCGCATTCATACCTTGACGATCGCTGACAGCAGCAGCGCATAACCCTGGCACACGCAGGATCCCTCCAAGGCCAGATAAGCCTATCTGCTGTGGTATGGTAACCCTGCCACACGCAGGATCCCTCCAAGGCCAGATAAGCCTATCTGCTGTGGTATGGTAACCCTGGCACACGCAGGATCCCTCCAAGGCCAGATAAGCCTATCTGCTGTGGTATGGTAACCCTGCCACACGCAGGATCCCTCCAAGGCCAGATAAGCCTATCTGCTGTGGTATGGTAACCCTGCCACACGCAGGATCCCTCCAAGGCCAGATAAGCCTATCTGCTGTGGTATGGTAACCCTGCCACACGCAGGATCCCTCCAAGGCCAGATAAGCCTATCTGCTGTGGTATGGTAACCCTGCCACACGCAGGATCCCTCCAAGGCCAGATAAGCCTATCTGCTGTGGTATGGTAACCCTGCCACACGCAGGATCCCTCCAAGGCCAGATAAGCCTATCTGCTGTGGTATGGTAACCCTGCCACACGCAGGATCCCTCCAAGGCCAGATAAGCCTATCTGCTGTGGTATGGTAACCCTGCCACACGCAGGATCCCTCCAAGGCCAGATAAGCCTATCTGCTGTGGTATGGTAACCCTGCCACACGCAGGATCCCTCCAAGGCCAGATAAGCCTATCTGCTGTGGTATGGTAACCCTGCCACACGCAGGATCCCTCCAAGGCCAGATAAGCCTATCTGCTGTGGTATGGTAACCCTGCCACACGCAGGATCCCTCCAAGGCCAGATAAGCCTATCTGCTGTGGTATGGTAACCCTGCCACACGCAGGATCCCTCCAAGGCCAGATAAGCCGATCTGCTGTGGTATGGTAACCCTGCCACATGGCACATGCCTGCCATACTGCTGCAGCACACACGGGTACGCGCCTTCCAGCCAGCTCACATGCAAGTACATGCACCTGTATTGTACATGCACACATACCCCCATTCCCAGGGGGCAGGGCATACCTTGACGATCGCTGACAGCAGCAGCACGTATCCTTGCCACACAAACGACCGTTCCAAAGCTAGATACGCCAGCACGTGCCCGCCATACTGCTGCAGCACACACGGGTAGGCAGCCTCCAGCTCACGTAGGCCGAGGCACGCCGCCTGGCGGATGAAGCGGTCGGCGTGGTTTGTCCTCTTTGCGGCGAAGAGGAGCAGGTCGACGAGCGAGGCGAGGAGATCAGGAAAGAGATCCATTGCCTCGAGCTGAGGAGAGAGAAGATGAGAGGTGGGCGAGGGGGTAGGGGAGGAATGGGGGGTTGGAGAGCAGCAGGACGACAAGGGAGGCGATGAGATCAGGACAAAGATCCATTGCCTCGAGCTGAGGGAGGCGAGGGGGAGAAGAAGGGGGGAGGGAGGGAGGGAGGGAGGGAGGGAGGGAGGGAGGGAGGGAGGGAGGGAGGGAGGGAGGGAGGGAGGGAGGGAGGGAGGGAGGGAGGGAGGGAGGGAGGGTTGGATGGAGGGAGGGGGAGTGGAGGGGAAGGAGGGAGGAGACGGTACAAAATAATGCGGGGATGACGTTAAAGTTGAGTGGTATTGAGGCTCCCCATGGGCACCCAATGTACATGTATGGGTGCACCCCATGGGCACCCAATGTACATGTATGGGTGCACCCCATGGGCACCCAATGTACATGTATGGGTGCACCCCATGGGCACCCAATGTACATGTATGGGTGCACCCCATGGGCACCCAATGTACATGTATGGGTGCACCCCATGGGCACCCAATGTACATGTATGGGTGCACCCCATGGGCACCCAATGTACATGTATGGGTGCACCCCATGGGCACCCAATGTACATGTATGGGTGCACCCCATGGGCACCCAATGTACATGTATGGGTGCACCCCATGGGCACCCAATGTACATGTATGGGTGCACCCCATGGGCACCCAATGTACATGTATGGGTGCACCCCATGGGCACCCAATGTAATGTACATGTATGGGTGCAGAGCAGATGGAGGTGGGGTGAGTGCAGGCAGGCAGTGGGTGCTGTGTCTGAGTTAGCATCGCCTCACACCTCCACTCTTTTACACACCGCAGCAGCAGCAGCAGCAGCAGCAGCAGCAGCAGCAGCAGCAGCAGCAGCAGCAGCAGCAGCAGCAGCAGCAGCAGCAGCAGCAGCAGCAGCAGCAGCAGCAGCAGCAGCAGCAGCAGCAGCAGCAGCAGCAGCAGCAGCAGCAGCAGCAGCACGGTACACACCTGGATAAAGACGGATGGGATTGCAGACACGACCTGCGCCCACAGCCCAGCAGGCAGCGCTGCTGCTGCTGCTGATGCCCATATTGATTATTTTACACACTGCAGCAGCACGGCACGCACCTGTAGGAAGACGGCTGCAACTGCAGACACTAGCTGTGTCTGCCCGCAGCCCAGCAGGCAGCGCTGCTGCTGCCGCTGCTGATGTTTTTGGTGCCTCACAGCACGTAACACACCTGGATGAAGACGGATGTGATAGCAGAGACTAGCTGCTGCCGCAGCCCACCAGGCAGCGCTGCCATTGCAGCTGCCGACACCGCCTCCCGTCCTCCACCGCCTCCCCTCCACCACCGCCGCCGCAGCCTCAACAGCACGGTACGTGCGCACCTTAACAACAAGGAACACACCTGGATGAAGACAGATGTGATAGCAGAGACCAGCTGCGCCCGCAGCCCACCAGGCAGCGCTGCCATTGCAGCTGCCGACACTGCCTCCCGTCCTCCACCGCCTCCCCTCCACCACCGCCGCCGCAGCCTCAACAGCACGGTACGTGCGCACCTTAACAACAAGGAACACACCTGGATGAAGACAGATGTGATAGCAGAGACCAGCTGCGCCCGCAGCCCACCAGGCAGCGCTGCCATTGCAGCTGCCGACACCGCCTCCCCTCCTCCACCCACACCGCTTACACCCCCACCCCTCCCACCCCCTGCCGCCGCTGCCAGCTGTGCCGCTGACGCTGACTGTACCGATGCTAGCTTGCCTGCTGCTGCTGACTGGGCTGCTGCTGACTGTGATGCAGTGGCAGTGCCTGATGCGTACGGAGAGGAAGAGGGGTGGTTGGGATGGGTGGAGAGGGATGCAGAGGCGGGAAAGGCAGGCGAGGCTGCGGCGGAGGAGGGAGGAGGGTGGTAGTGAGTGAGGGAGACGAGGAGGGAGAGGAGGCGTTGCAGCGTGGGACGAGCGGTCATGGCTGCTTCAAGGAGGTGGGCCGACGGGAAGGCGAGAGACGAGAGAGTTGCACTGAAAGATCCAGTATTGCCACCAGCAGCACCAGCAGCACTACCGCCACTGGCAGCGAATGTGCTTGCAGCGGATGTGCTTGTATTGAAGGCGGTGATGCCGGAGGGGGAGGGCAGCAGGGTGGGCAGGGGTAGGGAGAGCTCCCTTTCTCCCAGCACCAGCAGCAACGCATGCTCCTCCAGGAATGACAACAGCTGCGCCTGCGAAGGGGTGGGGTGAAGAGGGGTGGGGTGGGTAACGGCAGCGGGAGCTCCCTTTCTCCCAGCACCAGCAGCAGCGCGTGCTCCTCCAGAAATGACAACAGCTGCGCCTGTGGTGGAGGGGGTGGAGTGTGGTGGGGTGTGGTGGGAGGTGTAGCTTGAGGAAGGAAGAAGAAACCTGAGGCGACTCAAATCACGACTCTACAGAACAGGGCGATTGTCTGACGGCTCGGCACTCCCTCTCCCCCACCACCACCACCAGCAGCGCGTGCTCCTCCAGGAACGACAGTAGCTGTGCCCGTGGTGTGGAGCGGTATGGTGGGGTAAGGTGGAGTGAGGTGGGATGCGGTCCGGTGGGGTGGGGTGGGATGGCGTGCGGTGGGGTGGGAAAGGGGGAGGCGGAGATCATCCACAGCGTGTGGACACGCTAATGAGTGGGAACTGTCTAACCGGAACTCACTAACTCCCTAGCATAGAGAGCTTTTGAGAACTCTCAAACCTGACTCTAACGTTGACGGTAATCCCAAGGTTGAAGAGCACGGGCGGAGGGTACAGCTGCACCCACTGCTTCGGTTATTGGAGATCTTACCCCTCTCCTTGCTACTCTCTCCTTAACAACAAGTCGATCTTACCTCTCTCGCGTCACCTCCCCTCCCCTCCCTCCCCCTCCCCTCCCCTCCCCTCTCCCCTCCCCTCCCCCCTTTCACCCCTCCCCTCACCTTGCTAGCGGCCGGCTCCCTGTCTTTGAGAATGACGGTAATCCCAAGGTCGAACAGAACGGGCGGCGGGTACAGCTGCACCCACTGGTTCTGCATCTCGTGCGATTCGTTGAACTCCGACATGAGCGTCTGCCAGTCGTGCCACTGCATGCCGCCCTTTCCGCCAAACCGCGACGCCGCCGCTGCCATCGCCGCCATCGCCGCCGCCGCCATGATGGGTCGCTGTTCGGACGGACGAGATTCAACGGACGGACGGATTTACGGACGGGATTGAAGCGACGGGCTACAGCCGGACGATTGGAGAACTAGTGGATGGATGGACGGACTGATGCATGGATGGTGATCATGACGAATGAGGGAATGAAAAGCTTTTATGATATCGGGTAGCATGGCAACGGCGGATGCTCGTGGTGGCGACCGCGATATTCTGACATCTTAAAGGTCGGAGCGTGGAGTTTTGAGGCGTCTAAGAACGGAATTCTAATTCCCATCAGTTTCGAATGATACGGAGACTTGACAGCAGGGGAGTCCTCGAAGGCGTGGCTAGCTTTTAATCAGCGGTGCGTGGGTCGCCTCGAGCCATAAACCATACAACAAGAAAGCCTATTCCTAGGCTAGCCTCACACCGAGCCTCGGGGGAGTTGATGAACTGCCCCGATTGGATTTCCTGCTGAATTTGAATTCAAGTCTCTGGGAAAGTAGGAGGCAACATAGTCAGATCCGTTACAGGCAGGATGCCTAGATAGAAAAATTGCATTTACGTGCTTTCCAGGAACTAGTAACGTGTTTACGCGTTATAGTGCACCATGTAAGGTACCATTGACATATTTTCCCATCTAAATTCTATGTACGCAAAAAGGGTAGGTTTCATTCAGAATAACAAGTTGGTCAAATAAACTATATTGGAAATGACATTAACAGTTCCTCTGAAGTTATATTATCTAAGATGTTTAACCGACGCGACTCGTTACAAACTGTTACGAGTGCAATTGAGTGAACGAACGAGAATTGCACTATCGAAGCAAGAATACAATTGAGCGAAGGCATGAGCGAACATTATATAGCGAAACTATAGTGGTAACGGTAATGGTCGCGCGACGAGCCTGGGACTGAGGTTTGGAAAGTGTCGAAGCGTAGGCCCGGAGCGCGGGTTACCAGCCGAGCCGTGAGGTCGGGATGCGATGTGCGAAAAGGGCGGGATGATGAATGATGCGATGGTCGCGAGTGGTAACGGTGCTGACTGAGGTGCTACAGTGATGTACGCGTTGAGCACGGACGCGAAGTAAGGAAAAGGGAATTTCCTTACACTACCCCCCCTCCTAAGGAGGTCCTCCTTATGAAAGCGCGTGGATGTCTCGGAAATTGCGGCTACGTAGGTAGTCGGTGACGACGGGGTGATTTTCAACTTTCTCCAGGGGAACCCAATTGTCCTCGGTGGGGGTACGATCTTTCCAGCGGATCAGAAACTCCACTTTTCGGGCTCCTCGAGGGTCGCGAACTCTGTGGCTCAGGATCTTGTCGGGGGTGATGACTGGTTCGGTTGGTGGTCGTGTCATGCTGGTGGGTCGATATCGTGGGAGTTGGCTGGTGGATGGCACGTAACGGCGAAGTAAGCTGACGTGGAACGAGGGGCTGACGTACCAGTCAGCAGGGAGGAGGAGGTGCGCGGTGACTGGCGTAACCATGTGACTGATTCGAAATGGCCCACAGTATCGAGGGCGGAGTTTTGGAGTGATGGGCAGGCGGAGGTTCTGAGTGTCGAGTAAAACGAGGTCGTCGGGCTGATAAGTAACGGGTCTGCGATGGCGATCGGCGTTGCGTTTAGCGATGATGTTTGATTTTTTGATTGCTTCTGCTGCCCTGGTCCGTGCTGCTTGCAGAATCTCGGCGAACTGTTGTGCTCGTGGGACGGGGTTGTCGGGATTCGGTGTCATGGGTACTGTTGGGTCCTGTCCGTAATTCAAGTAAAACGGCGACTGTTGCGTCGTGGCTGATGGTGCGTTATTGTATGCGAACTCGATGAGTGGCAGCTGCTGTTCCCACGTATTCGGATCGTCGCACGTGGCTCGAATCAGCTGCTCCATGGTCTGATTTGTCCGTTCCGTCTGTCCGTCGGTTTCGGGGTGATAGGATGAACTGAACTGTAAGCGCGTGCCGAACTGCTGCCACAGGTTCCGCCAGAAGTTGCTTGTAAATTTCGTGTCTCTGTCGCTGATGATCGATGCGGGTATCCCGTGCAGTCGAACGACGGTGGTGATGAAGAGTCGGGCGGTTTCCTCGGCTGTGATTGATTTCCTGCATGCTGCGAAATGAGCCATCTTTGTTAGTCGATCGACGACGACCAGGATCGCGTCATTCCCACTCGCCCCAGCTGGTAACCCCGTGACGAAATCCATCGTCACCTGCTGCCAAGCACGCTCTGGGGGCGGGATGGGTTGTAATTGTCCCGCCGGCCGCTTCCTGCTTGACTTCATGAGCTGGCAAGTGGGGCACGATGCCACGTGTCGTTGCACATCGGTCAACATTTCTGGCCAGTAGTAGTACCGCTGCAGCTGCTGCCGTGTTTTTTCTACCCCGAAATGTCCCGAGGTAACTCCGTCGTGTGCTTCCTGTAACAGTAGTTCCCGCAGTAGCGTGTATCCTGGTACCCAGATGCGGTCGGTTCCAGCTTTTACGTAATAGACTCCTTTTGCCGCTGCGAATTGCTGTGAGTTGCCTCCTGTAAAGAACGGGTCTGTTTGATATCCGTGGGTAAATAGGCCTGTCAGTAGCGGGCTGGTCTGGGCGAGTAGTATCGCGTGGATCTGGGCAGTGGGGCGGGTCAGTGCGTCGGCGATATTCGAGGCTCCTTTTTTGTATGTGACCGTATAGTGAAAATTCGACTCGAGGAAATCGAGCCATCGAATCTGTCGTGGGTTGAGGTGGGGCTGTGCGCGGAGGTACTGTAGAGATCGATGGTCTGTCCGTACTGTCACGTCTGCGCCGGTCAAGTAGCAGCGCCATACTTTGAATGCGTGCACGATCGCAAGCATTTCGCGGTCGTGTATCGGGTAATTTCGCTCAGGCGGATGTAGTTTGCGTGATTCGTAGGCGATGGGTTGGAGGCCGTCGCCGAAGTCCTGTAACAGTACGGCTCCGATGGCGATGTCACTTGCGTCGGTAACCACTTCGAAAGGGCGGTGGGGATCAGCGATGCGTAGAACGGGTGGTGAACAGAGAACGGTTTTCAGGGCAGAGAAGGCAGCATGCTCTTTCTCCCCCCACGTAAAAGCGACCCCCTTGCGCAATAAATCAGTGAGTGTGGCTGTTAAACGTGCCATGTCGGGCACGAACCGTCGAACGTAATTAACAAAACCTAAAAAACTCTGCAGTTCCGTGATGTTCGTCGGGGGGCGCCACGCTTTTACCGTATCCAGCTTCTTTGGGTCAATCTCAACCCCAGCCTCCGAAATGACGTGACCCAAAAACTCTAGCCTGTCCCGAAAAAACTCGCACTTGGAGCCCTTGGTGAGTAGCCGATGTTCCTCCAAAACCTTAAAAACTGCTTCAAGATCCACTAAGTGTTGCTGCTTATCCCGGCTGTAAACTAGAATATCGTCCAGATAAACTATCACGCATTTATCTAAAAGTGGTCTAATAGCCTCGTTCATGGTCATCTGAAATGTCGCAGGCGCGTTCGTCAGCCCGAATTGTCGAGAGTAAATGTTAAGTTGAGAGGTAGGGCCTAGGCTTAGGAGCCTAGGCCCGAGATTAGGTATCGAGTAGGTTTTGGGCAAGGGTGAGAGGATCGAGGAAGTTGGAAAGGAGAAAAGATGGTGTTTCACTATAGGGTTCGAAGTACATATAGCATAGGAAACAAATAGGGTGCACCACCAACCACAGTTTAAATAACTACACTAACTACAACTACAAGCAGTTATAAAAGATGACAAATATATTTCGACACGCCCCCATAATGCTTGTAGGTAGAAATGTAGTTACAGCAACAGCAGGTAATGCAGGCGGGCTGACACTAGCTGGTCACCCCCTCCATCTCCTCACCCTCCTCCTTCCCCTCCCCCACACTGCTGTAGAAGCAGCAGAGAAGGGGGGAAGAGAGGAGAGGTGGAGGGACGGCTGCTTGTTGCCTCACACCCGCCACCCCGGTACCACTCCCCCTGCTCCCCCACACCCTCACACCCTCCCCCCCAGCGGCAGCTGCAGCAGTGGGAATGAAAGGAGGAGGAGGGGAAGGGAAGTGAACGACCCAACGCCCCAACACCCGCCACCCCCATACCCTCCTCCCCGCGGCTGCAGAGAAACAAAGGAGGAGGGGGTGGGCGGGAAGAAAGCCGCAGAGCGGCTACACTGTGTCGGCGCTGAAAGGTCAGGGGCGGCTGCAGGGAGGGCAGGTGCGGAAAGGCCCGTCGCGGGCCATGGGGCGCACGACGGGTAAGGTTAAGTTTAAAGGGCCCGATCGAGTGCCACGGGGCACACGACGAGCAGGGCACCATCGCGTGCCACGGGGCGCACGACGGGCAGATGAAGGGCACCGTCGCGTGCCACGGGGCGCGCGACGGGCAGAGAAGGAGTCACACGCCCGTGGGCGGGACAAGGTAAAAATCGTCACGCGCCCTAGGCGCGCGACTGGAAAATCTTAGCAGCGGAAGTGTAGGGCGGGCCCACAGGCCAGGACGTAATTCGCTCCGATAACATGTCGAGAGTAAATGTTAAGTTGAGAGTGTGAAATGAGTAAGCAGGAATGATGTGAACTAAGAGTGAAAGCAGTACAAATGTGAAACCCTAACTGGGTTGTACCCCCTATGGGATACCCCACTACAGCCTACACAGCAGTATAAGCTATAGACATGTTCTGACACACCCCCATAGGCAAAGTGGGGGAGAACAAGGGGTCACAAGACCAGTCAAGCAAGACAAAGCAAAGCTCAGGGTGGATCACAAAGTCACCACACAATCCGAGCACAAGAGCAAGGCCAAAGGCCAGTTCACAAGCAAGAGTACAGACATATATATATAAAACTAGACAAGCAAGAGCAGGTATATATATATGTCACAGTACAAGTAAAGTCAAGAGGAGAGCAAGTGAGGCAAGACAGGCACAAGACCCAGCTGGGTGCAGAAGC